TTCACCTGCCGCATCTTCGTACAACTCCAGAATTTAAAGGGCATTAACGACTTCGGATAGCAAGACCACCTAGTATGCAACGACGCATTCCTACAGGGGTCCATTGTGCACTTCTCATCAGCTCAATACTATGCTGAGCTATACTGTGCAAGCAACAAGTTCCCGCAAATTTTAAGCTAGGGAATACGCAAGAGTCCTAGATATTTTCATAACTGCCTGTGGCGTCGTTTTTTCCCAGCCGTAAGTGCTCCATTTACAACCATTTGAGTAAAGCCTGTACCACTTTCGAAATAACATTTGCCACAGTGTCCTGACCTCTACTGCCAAGTAGCTAGATCTGGTACTTAAAGTGGACGTGCTATCTCATGGAATACTAAACAGCATTCCAAAATTTGTTATCGAGCTGTAAAGATTATTTAACTACTGTTGCGCTCTCAATTAGAATGAGGTATAATCTCGAGATATTTTAGTAACGCTAGGATTCCGAATTTTAACCAAGCTTCTTTTCGACGGCCTGAAAAACTAGAGCGATTACTTACGTAGAAAGCATGTTTCCCATTAATCATCGATGTTCTGATAACGCTAAGTGTATTTTCTCGGGACACTGTTGAAAATTGCTCTTTTATTTACTCACTGAGTAGCAAATGATATCGGAGGAGGGTTATTTTTCGGCGTTTAGAATGTTTCTTATTATGTTATTTTTTTTAAGACTGTGTAATTTCTCTTCATAGTGCATCGCTTATGTCCCTTCATGAATGCTGCTTATAAGGTATACAACATTACTCTCCCTCACGGCAAAATTTTATGAAAACTACACGATTTCCTTAAACGTAATGTATTTAGTATACAATTTAGAAACCCTGAAAAAGCAACTGAAACGGCCGCTCGGGTCCCAGCTTATTTGGGAAATAAAATGTTTCTAAAACTGAAAGATAGTCTTTCCTGGGCCAGAAAATTTAACGAAGAAATAATACTGGAGCCATGTGAGGAATGAATTCAACCTATGACGCACCGCTGACTAAAAGCTTTGATGAACGTAAGCTGGGTCGAAAATGGCGAGGTTGGAAAAGTTCCGACAGCTGTAGACATGGTCTCCGCCAATTCTATGCACCAAAATCGATGAAAATGCGCATTTCTGTGGCTAAAACATTATTTTGAATACCAGCTTCACATAATGTCTCATGGAAAACTAGTTGAGGTGCAAAATGCATCAGAATGCAAGGCTTTTCAATTCTCTTCATAGTCTCAATGACGGTTGTTGGTTATGACTACCTTGGGTTCGACTGAGAAAAAGACGACTCGATCGCTGGGACAATACTTTTATTCGCCTGACGTTTCGAGATCCGTCGCGAATTTGTCATCAGAAACATAGTCAAAGAGCAGTAGCAGAAAAGAGTAATACATGCACAGGGTTTGTAGTATTTATAGGACACAGTCATTGCTGCAAACGTACAGAGACAGAGACGCGAATTGCCGAACATGCGGCAAAAGTGAGGTGAAATGATGCCAATTCTGACGTTGCGGCTCATTCGACGAGACCAGGCCACAAATTCTCGCAAGAAACGGCAATCGGGTGAGCTGAGAATTACTTGAGTCATGGTTCACGGGCCTCCAATCTATAAACAAATGCAACGATTTGCCCAATCCTTATTCAGTGCTAAGACTCAATTTGGCCAAAGCAAGTCACCACTTGGGGTACGGACAGGCCTACGCAAACACCACAGGGCCAGATGGTCGAGAAATCACCACGCCCCAGTCCACCACGCGTGATGAAAGTTCAACAGGTCAGAGCCCCCATGTCCTCCAACAAACTATCCACGCACTAGAAGGCAATTAACGTTAATTGTCTCTGTATTTTTGCAAACCCCTGTGTATGTATTACCTGTTTCTTCTACTGCTCTTTGACTTTGTCTCTGATGACGAATCCGCGACGGAATTCGAAACGTCAGGCGAATAAGGGC